TAGGACTCGTAGGATCTCCTGAGTCATGATGGTGCGTTTAGTTGCCGACGGTATAGCTGAGCGCGGGTGAATCACAGCTTTTGAGGAGATATCCTTAGAGTAAAATTCATGTAGTACTACATTCCCTCTTCTCCACCCAAACCTTTAAATCTAAGATGGGGATCTTCTTATCTAAGTGCTTTGATGGGTAGTCTACCTCAACTTTTATTGACTGATGTATCGTGTCTCCTATGAATTTCACCATGCCCATACCCCTCTCGTCGCTAACCTGTTCCTCACCACCACTACTTTCTCTAGACGGAAGCACAACGTTCTCCTCGGGTACATTCATAATGATATTTATGTCATCTACATAACGCTTGTACATGTGTATTTGCAGTCCGTAATCACTTGCTATTTTCTTGAACTGCCTATCCCACCTCACCATAAATATCTGGGCGAGGACCCCAGTGAGTTCTAGACCTATCGGACCCCCTTCCTTCTGACGATATATAGTGTTATTGAATGTGTACACATTATTCTTCATGATAAACAAGAGAGCGACTCTTAGAGCTGTTACTAGCATTTTACGCGTTGTGCTATCATCTGGTTTAGAACGTGCAAAGTTCCACACAGAGAATCGTTTATTCTTATTATCATCTAAAGCACAACCCGTAATAGCTGGTCGTCTCCCTCTGTTCGTTCTCCGTGTARGACAATATCGTATTAAGTTCTGTCTTCTCAAGTACTGTTCATCACAATTAAGTGAAAGATACAAACCTAATTCATCTGGATCCACGTCCTTTACCTCCACTTGACTACCGTACAGCACTTCACACACTTTATCAACGGTAAAATCAATGTCAAGGCTTGGGTAGAGTGCTTTTACATCCGCAGATCCTACCATTACYCCTCCRTCCARAYKCTGACTGTTAACATGTGCAATGCCAGCCATTAGCTCTTCTGTGCTCAGTTTGATAATTAAAGCGGTTTTTTATTTCAACATCAAATTTTCTTTTCAATTCAAAAGTAACCAAAAATAGAATACAAACCCAACGAATAACCCAAATATCGATGTTGAAAATGACCTAAATCTGAAGAGATTTCAACGGTTTTCGGCCGATAATTACCTTGGCCACTGGAAAAAATCGCGCGCTTTAAAGGTTGTAAATTTGATGTAAATATGATATAAGTGTCCAAAATTCTGTAAATGTAATGGAAATCATTTACATCAAACTTCTAGAACTCATTAATAATTCATGAGCTATTAGTCCAATCAGAATCCAACTTTTGGGTCACATGATCGACCTTTAAATCCCGATAACGCACTGATGTTTTATTAATCAGTTCTATATCAGAGMTATAGAACTGATGTTTTATTAATCAGTTCTATATCAGATATAAAGAACTGATGTTGAAGGTCATCAGCGCTTTATCGCAACCCAACACTAGCAAAGGTCTCAGTTTTAATGTCGCATCATAGACCTTTGCTAGGTTTTAAATCAGTTTGTATCAATGTGCAGATATGCAGTATAGCATAGACTAGCCGTTCTTACGTGTGGGATCAAAATTMTTTCATTTGTGACAAATGCACATGCTCAGTAGAAGTTTAACATGCATAATCTCTGTTTTCGCATTTTTTAGCTTTTTTCTAAAATGATAACAATTTCTAAAATGATAACAATTTCTCGGCCTTTGGACTCGTGTCTATATCTCCCGATAAAGCACTCCTGCTCGTTTTTTAAACACTACTTACAGAATTGTGAACACTTACATCAAATTTATAACCTTTAAAGCGCGCGATTTTTTCCAGACTATTTTTTCCTAGGAGGCCTAGAGCCAACTCCTCTTCTCAATAGTCTGGTAAGCCTGTGATTAATAATGCTTAGTTAAAAATTGACATTTTTGTTGACGACAAGGTTGTTCATCGTCAGTAACATAATAGTAACATTACCGTACAGACTTGAAAAATTAAACAAGCGCCGAGGCGCTAATGGAGCCTAAATACGGTAGTAAACATTTTGTATATGTTCTATGCGGTAGTGACGAGGAAATCTGAAATCTTGTACCTTTCACCTTTTGTCAGGTAAATTTCGAACTTGGTTTCGCATGCTGCGCTGCACGTTACAAATCTGCACTGTATTTCCATAAAGATCTCTAGTCAAATTATTAGTGGTTTTCATCGGACTGTGAAATAGTTACTAAAGCTGTTATACATACTTGTAGACGGTAAAACTATCGAGTGGTTTTCATCGTGAACCATCGTCAGTGTTTAATAGTGTCTAATAGTTGTATTCCAATAAACGAAAACAATGGGTGTAGCCCGTAGCGTAGGAACTATTTCAAAGTCTGATGAAAATCAGTCTAAAAAACTCTTGTTTTCATTTGTTGGGATATGACTATTAGACACTGTACACCTTTTTAATAAGTCTTGAGTTCTCCGCACTTGACGTCAAATTTATTCTTTTGAAATTTTAATACAAAAGGATCGAATTCAAAAGAATAAATTTGACGTCAAGC